TTCTTACCCTTAACCTACCATGGTAATACTGATTTATTACCCGGAGTGGTTATCACGTTGTTTTCGTGTACTTTATCTTTCTTTGTTACGGGTTACCTTTAACTTATCTAGTTGACCTTTTATTTTTCATATAAAAAATATCTTAACAAGTATATGTGTGATCAGGTTGTTCGAAATGTATTGCGCAAATATATCACATAATTCTGATAACTTTCATCTCATTACATTATCGAAATTAATTAGATTACTAAAATGTTTGTAAGAAGATAGCATTAGTTGACGAGCGTGTTGTACTTGGACTATTAACTCAAAATATATACACTAAAAAAACCCCAACAGTACAAATGAATTAATTATTCACAGTTATCAATAGCAGCATGCATAAACGAAATGTGTTTTCATGATATTGATGCGAAACTTAACATTACTGTTAAATACAAGGTAGTATATTCATTTGATGTGAGATTAATATTTAATAAAATGTCTTCAGATTAAGCTACTTCCTTGTTTTATACTAGTTTTAATCAGTCGTTATTAAATATGAAGTTTTCTTCATTACATAACTAACATAAGTTTGCAAAAAGAGATTGAAAATCAAGTAGCATTCGATAGTTGTTTCTTTCGGATTTTGGAGTCTACAGCAATGTGTACTCAAATTATTCTTAAACCATTAAGTCGAATTACAACATTCATCGAATTTCAGTTCAGTTAATTCTTGAGATTATAAGATCACTACACATTGTTTTCACTAGTGACTAGCTTAAAGAAGGCTTGGAGTTTCAATGAGAAGTCATGAGCATTGGATTTCACCCCTGTTGAAATATATATAGTGTACATGGTACACACCTGATACTTAATCAATGTTATATTCGTACAGTACATTAACATAACACAAATCGCTCTGTGAATCAAACGTTTTTCAAGCAGTTAAAAACCACACTACTTCCATTTATTTAATTTCACCCTCTATCTCCTTAGAGTTGAATACCTGAAATGAACTCTTCCATCACATTTCTTATTTGTCTTTTATTACTACTGTTCTTCAATGGAAATATCTTAAGTGCTGAATAAGAAGTTAACTGGGAAATAATGCCTTATTCATCGTCGTCATCATGGAGTCAACACCAATAGTATTGGATGAAACGTCCATAAATAGTAAATACAAAACACTAAATATCAATTCAGTGGTTTAATACTACTATTCTCCCCATAAAATCTTTACACTATATGCCTAGTTCCGTCTGAGACCTTAAGTATACGCCGTTGCAGAGTACCAGGCTAATATAAAAGAAGTGGTCTTACCTACTTACAACTCATACCCCTCGTCGAGGAGCATAGTCTGCTAATCAACATTCTCCATCAAACTCTGTCCTCGTTAATCCTTTCCAGTTGCTATTTATCCTTTTTGTGTCTGCTTCTGATTCACTACAAGATGTGTTCATTAGTCTTCCCCTTTTTCATTTCCCTTCACTATTCCAAGTTAGCGACTGCCTCATGATGCAGTCTGATGATTTCCGCAATCTATGTCCTATAGTTTATAAATACTTGTACTTCTTTGATAATGGTCGTGATAGTTCCCCAAGTTTCAGCTCCGTACAGTGGGACTGTCTTAATGTTAGTATTGAAGATTCTGACTTTGATATTGGCTGACAGAGTGTTGTTTTGAGTCACACATGTCCCTCAACTTCAGAATGTTGCCCTGACTTTGCCGATCATTGCATTCACTTCTGCATCAGATTCTCCATGATCATCGATGATACTGTCCAAGTACGTGAAAGATCCCACATCTTCCAGAGTTCCTCCATTAAGCGTGATTCGTTTGATTCTCTCTATGTTGTGTTTGAGGATCTTGCTTTTCCCTTGTGTATGTCGAGGCTCACTGATACACAGAATAATGTTTCACTGTTTGTCTCTACCTGCATTTATTGATATGTATGGGATAGAAGAGCCAGGTCATCCGCGAAGTCCAAATCTTCTAATTGATTCCGAGCTGTCCATTGTACTGCGTGCTTTCCCTTAGATGTCGAGGTCTTCATATTCTGGTCAACCACCAGAAGAAAGAGGAAAGACAAAAGTAAACAGCCTTGTCTAACACCGGTCCTCACTTGGAATTTGTCTGACAGCTTTCCTCTATGTACGACTTTTCACTGTAGTCCGTCGCATGAATTACGGATGGTGTTGATGATTTTCTCAGCTACTCACACTATAGTATCGAAGAACTTTCCATAATGTTCTCCTGTCCATAATGTCAAACGCTTCCTCATAGTCAAGGAAGCCGATGTGTAGTGACGAGTTCCATTCAACTGGTTGTTCAACGATGATCCGTAGTGTCACGGTTTGGTCTGTGCACGACGGATCATTACGGATCTGTTGATCTCGAAGTTGGACGTCTACTGAAACTCTCATCCGGTTCAGAAACACTGTTGAAAACTTTTCTTGCTTCCGATAGTAATGTGATGCCTTTGTAATTCTCACATTTACTCAGATCGCGTTTCTTTGGTATCTTGAAGTGTCCTTCTCTCCAGTCTGATGGGACTTGATCTCCTTCCCAAATCTGTCTGCATGAAATGTGGCGCATCTTTGCAATCACCTTCATGTCTAACTTCAATCGTCGAGTTGGTATGTTTTCTGGTCCTGCTGCTTTATCGATCTTAAGTAATTTGAAGTCCACGCCGATTCCTTTGACTGTTGGTAGGGTAACACCTAAAGGAAGGTCTGTAGGTGCTACTTCGATGTCCGATGGGTTCAGTGGAGCTGGTCTATCCAAGAGTTCCTCGAAGTGTCCCACCCATCTGGTCAACTACTCTCGAATCTCATTCATTATCTTGCCTTCTCTGTACTTGACTAGTCTCTCCAGTTCACTATATTTCCCTCTCGGTTTCCTCGTTGTGTCATATAGTTGTCTCATATTCCATTCCAATTCAGCCTGTTCTGCTGTCGTTACCAGGTCTTCCACGTGTTTCTGCTTTTCAGTGACCATGCCCCTCTTCACTTACTTGTTTGCTTCAGTGTATTCAGTTTGCACGTTGACATCCTCTGTTCTCGTTCCACTGTTGTTAGTTGCTGTCTTCTTGTTCTTCCTTTCTTGAATCCTGTTTGGGTTTTCGATAGAGATCCGTTCCTTGTGATGATACTTCTTGCAGTCCAGTACCTCCTGACACGTTGAAGTTAGTGCTTCATTGATCCCTCTCCAGATTTCCTCCATAGTAGTTTTATCTTCTTCAAGCAGACTTTGTCAGGCTAATGATCTATTTTAGCCTTTCGTAAAACTGATCTTCATTGTTATCATTGATGGACGCATAACATTAGATAACGTTCATTATGATCCCCTCCTTCTTTGTTTCGAAGGACACTTTGATTATCCTGGATCCATGAGATTCTCATCCAATAAGTTCATTTCGTGCCTCTTTAGAAATCATCGAAACAACTTCCTACATGTGTGGAGCATTTTTTCTTTGGACCAGAGTAAAACAATATCTCTCCCAAGTCTATCCTTTTTGTTCATCTTCGGTACAATGGGTTTTACTTATTCCAAGCACCGTCAATCCGTATCTCCTCATTTCCGTGGCTGTTTGCCTGGTCCTCCTGGTTTCTCACATTGTCCAAACATTACATGTACCTGTGAGAATTGTTGTTGTTGTTGTTGTTAGAAGGGCATCGGCCCAGTGACATTCGAAGATTCTCCGCTTTCACCATAAGGCTCTTCTACTTCTTGTAAATGAATATCCTTCAACTCCCTAGGCAGAGTTTAAATGGTTTATTTGCTTATTCTGATTGGCGTCTTTTAGCAAGATTGTTTTCTACTGAATGTGATTGCCAACCTCACGCCCAACCCTCCTCCTTTACCCGTGCTTGGAACCAACAGTAACCCTAGAAGCGCTACATGCGGAGGTCAGTAATTCTTAAATTTCTAAATGACATCAGTATGTGATAAACACTTACTTCAAACGGAATAATGCCCATCAATTCTATATCTTATCATCATTGTTATCATTGAACATTCACAAAAATTATCTCATACTAGAAAAGTAACTTTTCCTTAAAATTGATAGGTTTGACAGACTAAGTCATCTAATTTAATTATCCGAGTATATTTGAATATCTTATTTTAAAAAAAATGGTTAATAAACTTGCATCTTATATGTGATATATCAGTAATACTAAGGTAACACACATGTATGCTGTCAAATACTTGATATTGTAGAAATATTTTTATTAATTTAGCATTGACGAAATCAAACCAATGAAAAGGTTGGTGCATTTTCAATATACCATAAAACCTAGAAAAAAACAAGTCAGTTAGACATTATTTGCTATTGATCCCATCAAGCTAGTTATCTAACTTTAACGAAATTGTGACGGGTCCTATTGTTTAGTTATCTAGTTTTGAATAAGATTTCTTTTTGATTGGTTTGCTAATGTTTTCTTTCTGAGTAGCTTGTCAAACTTCTGAATGTTATATTTTCAATACAAAATCACTCTAGAGATCACATTTTCAGATGACATTATAACTGAGTTTTGAATGACTCTCAGCTTATCTAAAGCTTTGTTCTTTTGTGATGAGCTAAGAACGATTCTTAATTCACCGAGTCAGGTATCTTACTGCCTCACCTATTTCTTGCCATATTTCTTCGTTTAATTTTGATGCTTGGAATGAAAACTCTAGTTTCTTCGAAGAATTTTCGAAAAGCAAACTTTAAACAAGGCTCAAATCAATCACTAATTAGAATATATTATATACCCAAGCTTAGTCGTGTTGAGAAAGCAATACCTGTAATTTAAAACAAATATCATCACATAAGTGATTACGTCACACTCTACTATAATGATCAATTTATATTTATATGCTTGTCAGCAAATATATATAAGGTAGACTAAATTAGCTACACCCCCCCCCAAATGATTTATTAATTGAACTAGTGATAAATCATTTTTGATTAAAAAAATAAAATTTATGTTGTTTCTTTTTTGTTGTTATTTCTTTCTCCTTGTTCGTTTACAGAAAACGTGTTCTATATTAAATTCAGTCAACATAGTTACTAAATTACTTGGATATTATTACGTAGTATCCAGTCTATACAAACATACAGATAGATATTTAATTAAAAAAACTTTGTTTCTATCCAATTAGATTAAATTACATAATATTTATTTATTAATAGTTACATTGTTATTAGTTTCTTATGAAAGAAACCATTTTTATACTGAACACTTTATACAAACAAATAATGTTATGGTTAGAAATTCTAATTTGGAGTATATTTTTTCATCTATTACAAGCTTTTATAACACAGGATCAAGGTAAGCGATAAATATTTGTTAGAATTTTGTGTAATTTAAATATTAAAACAAATGAAAATGTATTTTAATAGTTGAGTTCATGAGTCAAATGAAGCTAGACCATCATAGCAAACCTGAAAGCACTGGACGTCCGTCTTGTCCTAATGTGGAAGTCCTCAGCAGTACTCATCCACGATCCCGCACCGCGGGATTCGAACCCAGGACCTATTGGTCTTGTGCGCAGTAGAAATTTTATGTTCTAAGATGATTTCTATTGATATTTAGATTCTTTATAAAAATTTTACTGAGCTATGTTTTAATGATACTAACTGTTTGATTATTTATTATTAAATGAATTGACAAAATTATTTTATACGTTTTTTTCTAATCAAATCAATTACATCTTTTATAGTCATTTAATTAGCCACAACAGTAATCGTATATTTTGTAAGTTAATGTATATTTAGTTGTTAAACTGGACTGTTGTCTTGTGTGATCAAGTTCTGGATGAAAAATCAGTTGGGCTTCCTATGAATTAATGAAGTATAGCGGTGATGTCAGTAAAATGAGTATCCATTGTTTGTAGAAAAAAAACAATAGTGATCATCATATCTTCCCCCAGAACTAACTCATAATAAACATAAAGTTTAAGAAAATTAATTTATGACTGATTCTAACCTCATCAGAGATTGGCAAGCATATTTCCTTGAAGATAAATTGGTCATTAGCATTCAAAGATTTGAAATTATCGTGTAACATAAACAGTCAATCCCAAATAATCAGATACATGAATTAACCATAGCTGTCTCATACCAAAACGCAATTAGTGAAGGGATATATCTTCATAGATTATGTTTGAATAGCATTAACTCCAAAGTATAGAAATTACCACTGATTGGTGAGCTTTAAGTACTTGCTTCATTATAAAATGATCAGGTCCAATGTATAAATAATAAAAGGAACTACGTATTCTTCTTAATGTTGTTATCTCCTAACTGGATGGTCCAAGTGTGAAGTCTTTGTAGCCTTTGCAAACAACATCATCTTGACGAGGTTTATGAAAAGTAAGAGATCTAGAAGTTGGATTACTACACATAATTAGAACGTCTTCATATCAACCATTGAGAAATATGAAGAAACTTATTTACTGTTTGTAATAATAACTGAAGATGAAACCACTATCAAATGGTAGGTAAATTTATTTCCGTAATGAATAATGGGTAAATGATAACAATTTAGTATTGTAATCTGAATAAATTGTTTTTGAATCCTTATATGACTGAAGGGATCTGAGTGAATAAAACGATGATTAATACATAATGATACTTTAACTGTTGACAAACTATACGTGAGTAAGCTTAAAGTTCGTACAGTCCAAGAGATCTTTTATCTCTACAGCAACATCACTTTATTTAGAGCATTCTATAAGCAAGAAATAATAAAATTACCCATCAGTCATATGGTATTACTACATCACAACAATATTGATTTATGTCAACATTGATGTTTTCTAAATTTAATTCTACATTTATTGAAGAATAAATACATAGTAATTTTTGTTAATATCTATTAACTGAAAGAAAACAAAATGAAGCTAATTACTGTAGACATTGTTTTCAGTAGAATCTGTAGGAGTTATGATGAAAGAAGTGAATAATCTCAGAAAAACTTTACGTGATTATGTTACTGAAACTTCTTAAAAGTTTATTTTTATCAAAAAATTCACTTGGTGTTTTTTAGTTGTATCTTCCAATTGTTATTTAGGACTGCAAACGATCAGTCACTTGTTGGCATATGTGCATTCTGTGCAAACTGCCTCGATATTGCCTTAGGTCACAAGTTTCATAAGCAAAGATGGATAGTAGCTAGCAGTGGAATTCAGGATGCGCATTTTGTCCTATCTAGTCTCGTCAGCTGGATGTCGCGAATAGGATAAAACGCGCATCCTGGATTCCAATGTTACCCAATATCCATCTTTGTTTATTTATATCAGTTTAAGCATAGAATGCTTAAAATTATGTAGCAAAACACTCAGTTAATTTAAAAAAAAACAAATCATGTAAATAAGTAGAAGAAAATGAAATGTATATTTCTGTCTGAGGGTAATTAAATTAGTAAATATGGCGATTTGGACTCTAGAAATAGACATCAAACAATATTCACTAAGTTTATTCTTTACTGAATAGAAATAATACTCTATTACGTAACACTCCACTGTTACATGAATACTGAAGATAAATATTTCTCTAAATGCATAAAATAATCAGAAGCAAATTATGTATACCCATTAGTGTATGAATAACAATAAAATGTTTTGCACTATTGTTTATTATAATAAATTATAGTAAGCTTTAAATATGGACACATAAATTCTAACAAATCGTCAATAATCAATATTCATACTGTGGTGTGTGCTACTTATATTGATATAAGTAGTATATGTCGCGAGTTAAAACGTAATAGCTGGCAGCAGAAGATGAGGTGAAGATAAAGAAAGGAAGAGTGAGAGCACAATGGAATTTGTAAGAAAACGCATGTACAATGGAATGGGAGACAATGAATTAGTGTTCGCAACGGAAACAGTCCAGTTTGTTATGATGCATTGATATTTTGCAAATTGATGATTGACTTTATGGTATTGAGATTATATTGAGATAGTCTGTAACGTTTGTGCTTAATACATCCGATTGTCCCCACCCATTTTCTTGTTCACTGCAATACTAATTGTATTATTTCATCAAGATTATTGATTTCCAATTGTCTTCTCATTGGATTTATGTTCTCTGAGTTAAACAATTGAATTATGAAACTTTTATTATTTCTCTAGACATTATCACATCACTTGAAACTTTAAATAAATAAAACAATAAAAGTGGAATACTATTTTGTTTTAATTAACTTTCTAATAATTCATTTTGTTTACTTCTTATTTCTTTTCAGAATGTCTTCAATCAATCAAAGCTGATATTGTTTTTCTTTTAGATGGAACTCAATTAATTGATAAATTTTCATTTGATTATTATGTGAAAGATTATTTGAATGATTTTGCTAAAAAGGTAAATAAATTTGTTTATAATAATGTCTCATCAAGTTCTACAATTATATATCCAAATTAATAATCCGACCGTTAATAACCCGACCGTTGTTGCTACCTTGACGTGGTGGTCGGGCTTGCCTATCGTGATGAAGCAACCGAGTTATACTGGCTGGAACAACCGTTCCTCAAGGTCCTACCATGTCAACAGGTCGGTTGAAGAGCGGTAAGACTAAAAGCAACAAACCCAAGGTCCGAAGGCGAAGTCGTACTGCTGACTGTACAGAGGTGTGACAGCAGTAAGGTGTTTCCTTCAGACAACCAGCATGACAAGGATGCTGCCTTCCCACAAGGAGGGATGGCGTTAGAAAAGGTCGACCCTAAAAATGCACACCTCTCCTTATCCCACGGATATCCATCTCCGGGGCAAGGTCTCAACAAGTACGGAGCTAACACAAAAATTACCCATGAAAAGGTCGTGTGTGACCGACCTCAAGCAGATGTCCCTTGAGCACTGCGGTCACGCTCCCAGGTCACTAATACCACCTCTAATCCAATCTCCTTTTCAGGTACCTCCAGAAGAACCCTTCCACGGTGTGAGCAACCGGGAAGTTAAAACCGCCCTCATACCTCTAACAGCACTCAAGACCACTGTATTCATAATCAACCTCCATCTTCAATTCCTATTATTCCTCCTACATCGACTTTCAACTCTAAATTTCCTCTTTCGGCTTCCTCCTCAAGTGTCACCATAGCCAACGATTCTAGTGCTCAAAACACTGTCCCAGGTCTACTGAAACCTCGCTCCACACTACACATTGAAGCCTTCAACGTACGAACCCCCATGTCAAATCGGTCAACAGGCTTCCTTGGCTATAACCCTAGAGTCTCTTACCATTGATGTATTCTTTGTCTCCGAAACACGTATTCAGGATTCTAGTGTGGTCATTCACTTGACCTCACCTCGGCAAAACGGAGAGCCAACGAGATACACCCTACGTGTATCTGGTGACCCGATGGCCAGTTCTCGTGGACTGGCAGGTGTAGGCATAGCACTAAGCATGAGGGCCGAACAAGCACTGCTAGAGTGCATCCCCGTTAACAGTCGTCTATGTGCTGTTCGTCTAAACGGCTACGTAAGAACTCGGAAGGATAGAGACACACGTCGTTGCCTTTTTGTCGTTTCTGCCTACGCTTCCACTGACTGCAGCTCGGATGAAGTGAAAGATGAATTTTACAGAAAGCTGTTCGAACTTCTGCAGAAAGCTAAACGCTCAGACATAGTACTCGTATCAGGTGACTTTAATGCTCAGATAGGTAGTTTAAACCAAACAGAAAGGCATTTAGGTGGGTATTTTAGTATTCCGGCACAACGAACAGATAATGGTGACCGTCTGCTGCAATTATGCTCAGACAATCGTTTATTTTTAGCAAACACAAATTTTAAGCATAAGGAGAGACATCGTCTAACATGGCGACCCCCTACACCAAATCAACGATGGACTCAAATAGACCATATTGCCATCAGTCATCGTTGGAGAGGGTCGGTACAAGAATGTCGCTCATCCTGGAGTACCTGCTTGGACTCCGACCACGCCCTAATACGGGCACGCATCTGCTTGCGCCTCACTGGACGCAAAAAAGCCACACTAAGAAGACCCATTAGAGCTGAATTGAGTAGCGAAAAAACCAAAAGTAGGTTCCAGGAACAACTGAGGTCACGATTAGGTAGTTCTGAAAACGAGGTTGACCCAGATGTTGCTTGGAAAAATATACAAACAGCTGTGGAAACAGCAATGAAATTTATTAGTGACTTAAACCACAGAGTTACAAAGAACCAGTGGATTTCTTCAAAGTCTATCACACTGATGGATTCTCGCAAACTCGTACCATCAGGTTCCGAACATGATGAAGAGCTACAACAAATCAGATTTAGGTTAAGCAAAAGTCTAAGAAACGACCGTGAGCAGTGGTGGGCAACGAAAGCAAAAGAGATGAAAAACGCGGCGGCTATAGGAAACACAAGACAGCTCTACAGACTAATAAAAGAAACTGGAATTAATAAGTCAAGTGTAAGTCAGACTATTTCGGAAAAAGACGACACTCTCAACTGCTCCCAGTCCAGACGTTTAGAACGATGGGCGGAACACTTTAGAGAACAGTTCAGCTGGCCTTCAGCTACTCTACAACTACCCTCCATTCCCAGACAATGTGAATGGAACATTGAAGAAGGTCCCCCAACTCTAGCGGAAGTGCAAAAGGCTATAGTTAATCTGAAACGAGGAAGGGCAGCTGGTCCAGATGGATTGGCTCCAGAAGTCTTTAAGGATGACGATCCAATTTTAGCGATTAGGTTGACTAATATTTTAGCTAAGATCTGGTAGTCAGACGTTATCCCACCTGACTGGTCTTAATCACTTATCGTCCCAATATATAAGAAAGGGTCAAAATCATCCTGTGACAACCACAGAGGGATTAGTTTAACAAATATAGTATCTAAAATACTAACCTCGATAATTATCAGACGCCTAACTAAGACTCGTGAACTACAAACTCGAGAGAACCAAGCTGGCTTCCCACCTGGTCGTGGCTGCATCGACCACATATTCACCATTCGTCAGGTTCTAGAACATAGGCATACTTATCGACGTCCGACGATGGTGGTCTTTCTTGAATTAAAAGCAGCATTTGACTCGGTAGACCGCGAGATTCTGTGGCAGTGTCTGTCATTGAAAGGCGTACCCCAGAAGTACATAAACCTTGTGAAGGCTCTTTACTCGAACACTATTAGTCGAGTCAGGGCTTATGGCGAAATGTCATCTACTTTTGCAACCTCAAGTGGTGTCCGTCAAGGCTGTCCACTTTCTCCATTTTTGTTTAACTTCATCATAGACTTATTGATAGAAATAACATTCTCGTCGACTGAATTCTCGGGTATTGATCTCCTTCCAGGAGGTCCACTGATCGACTTAGAATACGCAGATGACATAGTCCTGTTTGGTGAAGACGCTGACAAAATGCAGAGTCTTCTGGTAGCACTAAGCAACAATGCCAGAATGTTTGGGATGCGCTTCTCTCCCTCTAAATGCAAGTTGTTGCTTCAGGACTGGTCTGCGTCAACACCTGAACTAAGGATAGGGAGTTAAGTAGTCGAATGCGTCGCCAACTTCACTTATCTTGGAAGTCTGATCAGCCCTAATGGGTTGGTATCGGACGAAATCTCAGCACGGGTTCGAAAAGCTCGTTTGGCTTTTGCCAACTTACGTCACCTTTGGCGAAGGCGAGATATCCGTCTATCAATAAAAGGACTAGTATACTGCGCGGCAGTCCGTTCTGTTTTACTTTACGGCAGCGAAACATGGCCTTTAAGAGTAGAAGACACTCGTAAGCTACTAGTATTTGACCACAGATGCCTTAGAAATATTGCTGGCGTCTGCTGGGATCACCGGGTAAGTAATAGTGAGGTTAGACGCAGGGTATTAGGGAATGATGGTAAATCAGTTGACGAGTTTGCTAATCTTCATCGACCGAGATGGTTAGGCCACGTGTTACGTATGCCCGAACACCGATTACCACGATGTGCAATGCTAACCGGTGTCGGAGATGGTTGGAAGAAGGTTAGGGGCGGCCAAGCCATAACGTGGCATCAGTGCTTGAAGGCACTAACTTCTAGTTTGAGCCATGTTGGTAGATGCAGACTACTTGGTTGGGGTCCGCGTGACTATCGTAACCAATGGTTGGAGACTCTTGGTGACATGGCTCAGAATCGGTCACAATGGAGTCGGTGTATACACTCTCTGTCTTCTCTTAAACTAAGAGATTAAAATCGCTTCATATATTTCTTTCTACGAACTACTTCTTTCTTCCTGTACTATATCATTATTGCAATCTTTCTTTTATATATTACCACCTCTGAATTAACCACTTATATGAATCCGGTGTCCATCTTGTTGTGTTAATGAGATATGGCAACTTGGACCGATGCATATATATGCCTGGTCCTACGTTGTGGCTGACTGACTGATCATTTCTAAATGATGTACAATTCTCAATTCACATATTACAATTTCCAAATGACATGATTCGATACAGTTATACTTCAGATACTCATTGAGTGCCTTCAACGAAATGGGTTGATCACAAGATTTGAATGGTTGGAAATTTTCCATTATATTAAAACATAATTGTATGAACGAAGAATTATTCTTTTCAATCATTTCCAAATGATGTACTCTGCCTTACATTTGGCCAATGTTATGGATTAATAATTTGGATTTATAATTGTAGAACCTGATGAGAAATTATTGAAATGAATATTCTTCTTTCATACAATTGTGTTTTTATTATAATGGGAATTTTCCAGTGAAATAAATTTGTTTTAAGGAAAAAATTAACACTTCCATTTTGTTTGTTGATAAAACAATTTGATTTTCTAGTATTTTTTTTTTTACAAAATTTTTTTTCTCGGTTCTCATTTATTTTATTTTAGTTATCGATCAAAAGTGATGGAGTATTAATTTCGGTCATTTTATTTACGGATCAACTATATTTTGCAGTGAAACCAGAACATTCTATAAATTTGCCTAGTTTATTAATGGCAATAAATAATATGAAACAACCTGATAAAAATTTAATGAAATCCGATATCATCTATGCAATTTCAAACATTTTAAATTTTGGATTTATTCCAATACATAATGCAGATACACAAAATATTACACGAATGCTTATTCTACTTACAAATGGTAATATTCCAGAGAAAATACAACATAAAAATAATCAGATTCTTATTAAATCAGATGAAATTATACATAAATTACATAAACGTGTAGATTATGTGTTTAGTATAGGAGTACCAGGTGCTAATCAACTAGGTGTACGTAGATTAGCTAAACCTTCACATTATACTTTTACACTAACTGAATTTAATGGTTATAAAGAGTTAGATTTAAAAAATTTCGATCCTACTGAAGTAATTTGCCCCGTGAAAAGTAAGAATTTTAATTTGATTCTATTTTCTTAAATGAAATAAAATTGATCACTTTTTTTTTTAAAAAAAAAGGAAAATGAATTTGAGTTGTTTTTTTTATGTTATATTTATTCAGTTTGAGTGTTGTGTTTAAGAATGAAAACAGAAGTTCAACTCGGTAATCTAAATGTGTTTTTTTTAAAATGATTTATACGATGTTTCAAAGTCTATAATACGAAAAAGATCAACAGTTATGGAATGCTAGTTATTAAAAAGTGTGAAAGATTATCGTATAATGCTCTACTAATAATGATTATCTGATTATATATAGTCACTAAATGTATAACTAGTCCTTATCAATAGATGACTGAGAGAACTGACAATCTATTTTGTCCCAGTTAGGAACTCTTAGGCAGTGAGTTTCTTTAGACTTCACACGGGATTGTATCAAAAATATTCAGGTTTCATGGAGAACACTAAGTTATTCTTTTATGCTCAATATTTCCATCTTTATTTAATGTCATGCGTTTTGAAAGCAAAATTAAGGGAAAAGTTCTTTTTCTTTTATTGAGATTTTTTATCTTGATTAGAATTTTATTTTTTTTCTAAATGGTTTGATGAATAAAATATTGGTTTCATTTAATACATTTATTTCTATCAGTTCCAAAATATTGTAGTGAAATTAAAAGATTACTAACATTAAAAAAGCCCATTGAAAAAGTGAATGGACAAACAGCCGCTGTAAATCCCTGGTATCAATATGCATATCAACAGAGACGTTCAGGTACGAGACAAACGAGATATCGATATCCTTACAGTGATTATGAATATTATTACGATTATGGTGATTATAATGAAAGAAAACAGCTTCCGGTACGTCCAGTTAGTGTACCATATCAAAAAAGCAAAACAAATGATGAAGCATTAAACGCAAAGCTTATAGAATTATTGTATTTACTAAAAGATCATGACAGTAGGCAAAAGAAAACCAGTTTAGTAAAGTTGAACCCCATCATTACAGCTACCACCACAGCTCCAACCATCATATCTACACTTTCACCAAACTACTATAAATCCTTACAACGTAAATTAAAGAGCAAAAAATTTAATAGAGCAAGATATAGCTCATCTCCTATATCACCTTCATATTCAATATCTGATGATACTAGACAAACGATACAAAAAGAACCACATACAAATTACTCAATAATGATGAATCAATCTAATTTAAACAATACAACTGAAAATAATTGTGAAGTAAAATTAAATAAGATGGCAAATCTATTATTAAAATTAATTGAACAAACTCTTCATAGAAATTATTCAAGTTCAGCAGTCCAAGGAAATTCGAGTATTAATAATAGTTCCACTGAATTACTGAAAGTAAGCGTTCGAAATTTGAATTTCATACAAAATGTTTGTTAATTGGTTTGAAGTCTCACATATTTTCTATTAAAATCAGTATAGAATAATAAAAATAAATCTTGTTCCTTTCGTTTGTTGAAGTTTTACTCTACGTTCAATAATACATATTTATAAATTTCACTTAAATCCTCAGAAATTATCTAACCTATGAGCTATATTCATCATAGAATTGCTGACCAGACTGATTGGTTGTTCAAAATGAAATCTAAAGGATTATTGAATCGCTTAATTTATTCGATTGCAGTCAAACAAACATTTTTCGTATTTATCATTTTGATATATTTGTGAATGGATATTTCAGACTACCTTTAATTGTATTACCATTTCATTTTGGGAATATGCTTAAAATACATCAATTAAATGAAGGTTCATGTAAACAAAGGAATAAAGGAGAGCGAAAATTAATATGGTATGGAAAGAATAGGAAATCATTGCATTACTCTAAGTCATAAATTGATTGAAGAATTATCATGGTAAAATCAAGGTTACGATAAATTCTTTTTGTACACGTAAATGGGGTTTAAATTTACGAACAGCCATGACTTCTAGGAACCTAAGAATTCGTCCTTGACAATTTATATATAACGTTGATGTTAATTCTGTGCCCCGTCGCAACTATGTGTTATGCTATCGATGATCATGGTTTTCTACTGCCAATGTTGATAGGACCATTTGACACTAATTGATTTTGAAGCCACCTAGGCACATGTACCATAACACTTGATTGCATCGTTCGATTACTCCTCCCTAAGCGTGTCCGCACAAGCATGTAAATTGGTAAATGCAATAAGATGTGGAGCAATCGTCCGTGAATTTCCTAGGTCTATTCGGAATCATGGACGTAGTCTTTTCCATTACAACCAGTTTAGCAGTGTAATGGGTTTTCACGATAGCTGCTTTTAATCTGTCTTAAAACCATACCATTAGATTCTACTCCTAATGGTAGACAAATATAAACAGTTTTATTCGGAACAGAATAAACGAGAGGTTTTAGTGCTGACTGACTTCTACACCTATCTATAAAATTTACTGGATAATTATTTGTTATTAATGTCACTCAGCAGTTTTTCGTTTTCTCCAACAGTATCTGTGGGCACTTAACCAAGCCTCGTTTGTAATACGATAGACAGAAATTCTGGAAATTTAGATATTGACCAGCCTGACAGTTTTTATAGTACCATCCTCCCTTCGACTAAAAAGCATGTCTAAAAAGGGCAATTGGCCATCATTTTCTGCTTCATAGTTCATTACGATATCGATTTGGACCGCATTGAGTTTATCTAACAACCGGGAAACCTCAAAATCTTTATTACATATAACTAGCATATCATCCATGTATCTTCCATACTCGTCATACTTTCAACATCTGACAAATACAGCAGCTAAGAGAGGCCCCAAAGGGCTTCCCATAGCAACACCATCAAGTTTTGAAAATATTCGTCTTCAAACGTGAACTGGACATTTGCAGTACATAATAAAATTAATTCTTTCAACAATGATGACTAAATAGGAAAAAACGGGGAAATTAGTAGATATATAGTCACAAACAAAATCCATAGTCTTAGTTAACCGTACATTCGTAAAAAAAATTTTACATCAAAAGAATCCAAAGTCTTCAAGAAGATCAATTAATTCAAATGTATCTTTCAAGGGAAACTTACATAATTTATTACGGATTGGGTTTAACAATTTTCCTAACCATTTAGCTAGTTTCTGTGTAGGAGAACCACGCATATATAAAATTGGTTGTACTGGATTATTAAGTTTATGAATTCTAGGCAATCTATATAAATTCGGGAGAACAGAACCGGTAGGTATCAGCATATTAAATTCCTCTTTGTTTATGACATTTATTTTAAGGAGCTTCATTAGATAGGAATTTACTCCGGATTCCAATTTCCTAAAATTAATATTAGGTGGAACGTCATCTAGGAAATTACTCTGACCAAAAATTATAGATGACATTTTTACCTTATAGTCACAGTTATGAATGACAACCCAAGAACCTTTTTTAGATTTGAGGATCACAAGGACGAATTCTCAGGTATATAGAAGCCTTGACTATTCGTAACTTTAAACCCCATTTATGTGTACAAAAAGAAATTATCGTAACCTTGAGTTTACCATGATAATCCTTCAATCAATTTATGACTTAGAGTAATGCAATGATTTCCTATTCTTTCCATACTATATTAATTTTCGCTCTCCTTTATTCCTTTGTTTACATGAACTTTCTGTAGGTTACTAACTTAGATTATCTGTATCGAATGATTGGGAGCCTACTCGAATTTGACGGGGAAGGTGTAATCAACCAGCTAACGCTGAAGTCACACCTCGCGGTTAGCACTGAAAGTGGATTACCTTTTCGTCGTATCCAGGTACTAGGGCTGCTTTGATAACCGTACAACACAAACGATGTTATTACAGAAACATATTAGTAAGAGTAGGTACAAAAAACGGAGTGCGATCACCACTCTATAAGGCAGTCCATGAAGTAAATTAATGGATGCGCGTTGGTTGTACTTGACCTTGACGAGGATCACTGAACTGTTCGGTATGCAGTGATCCGACTGCCAGATGATTTGGCTAGGGTTTATTGACATTTCACTGGCCCTACACTTCATTTAATTGACCTTTATTAATTTTCTCAAATAAGATACCTTGAAAAACACATGTGACCAGATCGACCGAACTATATGGCTCATATACATCACATCTTTTAGATTAACTCCGTCTTCTCATCTCTCTATCGAAATTTATAAACTGGACTAATTACTTTATATTTCATCACTGTTAAAATCGGTATATTACAATGGTTGAATGCCGTGAAATGCAGTGTGTGTTCAATAACAATATCTACTTATCATAGAACTTTGTGTAAAATACCATAATCAAACTTTTCAAATGAATACTGAAAGAATGGTAATCCGAAATTCGAATTAAATAAAACATCATATTATCAAAAAACGTCTTAATAACAAAGTAAACAGATTAAAAAATAAATTTTGTTCAGAATATTTAAACAATTGACATAACTAAATATCTTAATACTTAATTCTAAACTAGAATACTGGTATGTAGGTTGAGTATATACTAACATATATTCATCATTATATTAAAGACTATGAATAACATTAGTGCGCTTCTAAGCTTAGGAAATAAGTTAAATCAACATTATTAAAGAAGACCGATTCATTTAAATCATGAACTGATCGATGTTAGATCACCACTGGAAACTTGGAAGTGCTGGGCGACGGTCCGTCCTAGTGTGGAACTCCCCAGAAGTGCCTATCTACAACCCTGCATGGGGGACTCAAACCATGACCTTAGGTCTCGCGCACGGACGCTTAACTTCTAGACCAATTAGCCAGCATCTACCGGTGTTTACGTTTAACTTCAATCAATCCCACGATATTGCGTGGCCATCTCTCATTGTCTTCAGTGGGTAACTCCCTCACGCCTATGGATATACACTGCTGGGGAGTCCCATACTAGAACGAAACAACTTTCCACTACTTGAAAGTTTTCAATGGTGGTCTAACAATGATTGGTTCATGATTTCGATGAAACTGAACAATCTCCAAAACATTATACTGAAAAAACAACTCAATAAGCTATGAAGGTTATAGAATTACACAGGAAGTGGTAAACAAAGTGTGAAGTTTACTGACCAAAACATCCGAATCTAATATAATAAATACTTTTCAAACTTTAATACAGGGGTATAAAACAGACGATCATAAGTGATTTCAACATATATGTATTTTGTCAATACTGACACAGCTAGACGTAATATCACAGACTACCTACTAATACTAAATAGAAAAAATATATTTTTAGTCATTTTAAATTTTATCCTGGTTAATCAATACTTCACAACATAGAATACTTTTAGGTTATAACTTCCGTTTTTTTTTATTTCCATTACATTTAAACAGCCAGCCAGTATAAGTTATTCATTAAATAGTTCACAATATCCTTACCCAGGAGTATCTACACTCAAAAAAGGAGAACCTTTAACATCAATAAACGAAAGCTACGGGGGAAATAAACCACCGCTAAGCAATGATAACAATAATTCACAAATTAGTAAACAGTATAAAGATCGAAGTTACCATTCAACTTATAAAGCACATTTTCAAGCTACAGATTGGGAAGATTCTGCTATGCACAATGGAGCAATTCTAATGTTTGCAATGAAGTCTCGTTCTGGGTTATCAATAAATAAGATGTACTTTTCCAGCAGGAATGTTACAAACATATCAAATAAAAATACAGATTCCAATGAAATAACAACTAATCATACTACTGGCGACATGGATATAAGTAGTAAGATGTCAAATAGTTGGTATAAGCATGATTTATTTGATCAGTGGTATAGTGGATCATATAAATATGTATTATTTGAATTATGGTCTAATAATAATCCAGTCGTTCAACTAAGATTCAATGCACGATACTCAGATAAGTATACATGGTTCAATAAATTGTTTTTAAAAACTTCGTATCCTTGGAATGAATATGAACTTTTGGAAAAGGCTAAATTCATCCTCACAAGGTATTACTCTTTTTGAGTAAAATAATCTTTTGAGTATACATGATTTATATTTGTATTTTTCACAGAAGTGGTTCAGTTGTCAAAGTTCGAAAAATTTACATATATTAATAGGTACGTTCTAAATAAACTTATTTAGTGTGAATCGAATTCGTGAAGTCATTCCTGATTATTATGTGTATTATTATCAATATGACTACAACTTCTATCTACATAGACAGCAAATTACAATGATATAAGTTAAACATTTGTAAATAAATCTTGATTTATTTATCTGTTGACATACAGAAGTCAAATGATTAATCTCTTTTTTATCTCATATCCAGATAGTATTTCACTGATAACTGTGAAAGAATGAAATCAAGAATAGAAGGCGATGATAAACCACTATTATGAAGAACCTTTGAGCCAAGATGTCATTTCATTTTGAAAGTTGGAGCCCATGTGCCAATAGTGAAGCAAGTACATTAATGTTGCAACACAAGAATGCGTCATTCTATAGACTAATTTCACTAGGAAGGTGGTGTCAAAGCCATGTGACATTTATTGCTAAACCCAATGCAAGAGTCGGTCTGAGAATGAGGTTTGGCGAACAAAAGGGTTATTCGATATAGATATAAATATATATTCCCCAATACAGCCCTTAGTAGTTTTATCACTCTTCTTCGATGGATTAAGCGACAAAATTTAACTGTAGCGACTAAGTTAGAGTCTATATCAAATCACTACTAACAAATGTTACTTATTAGTAAATAATAAACACATTTTTATTTTTAGAAGGGGTTTTGTGGAGATTTTAGTAATTTCAATAGTTGAAATCATGTATCAATCGAAGCTAGACTATCATGGAAAGCCTGGAAGCACTGGACGGCTGTTTCGTCCTAGTATGGGACTCTTCAGCAGTGCTCATCCACGAGTTTAAAATGTGTTTATAAACACTATCCCGTTAGAATCCATATGCGTCTACTCGATATTGATATACTGCATACAACTAATGTCGTACGTTAAGAAAAAATTCGTTGATTAATTCTATTTGAGGTAAAAAGAACGTGATATGCAATTTAAAGAAAAAACGATACATATATTTACAATAATTATATAAGCTGAAAGAAAATGGTCTCAAATAATATGAATCAACGATACAATAAACGCAAAATATTGCCAACTAAGGTTGTTTAATCACTTAATATCATATAAAAATTTGAAAAGAATCAGTTTTGTGCAAATTCAGATGGTTGAAGTTGGACATTAGCACCGTTGGGTGTCATCTCAGCGGCCTAGAGGTTAAGCATTCGCGCACGAGACCGATAGGTCCTGGATTCGAATCTCGTGAGGCGGGACCGTGGATGTGCAATACTGAGGAGTCCCATACTAGGACGAGACGGCTGTTCAGTGCTTCCAGGTTTTCCACGGTGGCCTAGCTCCAATCGACACATGACTTCAACTATTGACATTTTTATTTATTAGAACACTAATATGAAAAACCCAACCAATCCATTTAAAGTTAAGCCTGTAATTGCATTGTTAGTTATGATTTCATAATGGTAAATCACTACAAATGTGAACCGAAATTTGAGTCATACAGTCAGATTCCAGAAAAAAATCCACCAGTACTTATCTAATAACGTACCAATTGTTTTTAATAACTATTAAAAACAATTGTTGATGACGATCACTATAATAATGATAAAATTGAATATATTTAGAATTCGAAACTGAGGTTAGGAAGTAAATTGTCATAAATCTAGATGTGACTAAATGATTTCCTATACTAACTTCTATACAAGCAAACGGTTTTTTCTCAGGCTTAAAATTTACTGTTACATATCCCCTGTTTGAATTTAGGTTTTCATGGATTTTTTCGACAAGCTACTAAAAAAAGGAACTTACGCAAGTGTCACATAATAGATCCTGAATCAATTTAAATTCCCTATCACAATAGTAACATGAGATAGAAAATATAGAGTAATAACAAAAACTGAGGGAAATGGCAGAAACTAGGAACTAACGTGCCGTGAACGATAGAATTTTGAAAACTTAGAGCAAGGTAATACAGGAATAAATTCTCATAACTCTAAAGTTCAATCGTACAACATATATGACTAGCAGTTTGTCCAACATCAATCAGAAACTTGATCCGACACAATTTAAACTACTAGCTAGTAAATTAATTGATGTCCTAACTATCATGTAACCATAAGTTTATTTCTACTCCAACTCCATCTGAAACTAGATCTAAAACATATCGGCAAAAAGTAAGTTTATAGCCTTTTTCAGAATATAAGCAACAGAATAAAATTTAACATCGCTTTTTCTTGTATTCCTACACAAATGTTTTCTTAGCAATGAAGCATTCTCCGTAGTTTTTGATCCAAATTATATTGTCCTTTTATCATCGGTTGATTATAGTACAATTGAAAAGTTGAAGAGAGAACGAATAGATTGTGAATTCCTACGAGGTTATATATTAATTGTTGACAATCCTAACTCAGCAATTTCCCGATGTGAATGGAATAATGCAATCAATTCGAAATATAATAATTTCCCAAACACCAGTAATTATCATGATTATCCACAAATTTTCTACACATTGCCAATAAATTCACATCAAGAAGATAGTTTAAATTATCAATTACCACCAAAATTTTCAAATTATTTATTTACATTATATGAAGCTGATGAACTACGTATTTATGTCATACCATATGGGTTAATGCCTAGTAAAAATGATGGCATTTTATTACCACAGCCTAACAAATTATTATTTGTCCTTGATACAGGTATCAATTTATCATTTAAAAAATTATGGTATCAAGAAATAGCCAGTCCACCTAGTGCATTTCCACTAAAACGTAAAATCCTATGCCAGTGTTGGTATCGTAACGAGTTATTAAACAACTGGTATAAACCCAAAACACATTATCATACGCAAAATACCAACCATTTTTTAACATCGAATTTATTTTTCGGTTTCCAAAGTATTAAGATTGAATTACTTGATCAAATTGGTCATGTGAAATGTTGTTTAATATTTGATACACATGGTGCACAAGTAAATTCTTGGTTTTCACTAACACGCTTAAAATATTCCTGGCCGTGGTCAATTAAAACATTAACTAAATATAATTTTGTACAATTTGGTGATCAAATATTAACTAGTGGTAAGAAACATTATTTATCGTTGAGAAATTGGTCGAATTTCAACTTTTGGATTGGTAAACAAACGTTGTTAATTGAACCATCATCCAATGCGAAACGAACTACTTATGCAATAAAATGTTTAAGTATATTTCTAGTTTACAGTAAAAATAATGAATCTGACCATTTTAAATTACCGGAATGTATGAAAGGTCAAACTAATTTATTTAAGGATACAACCACATTAACAATATTAGCTTTTAATGAAGAATTAACAGAACTGAATAATATGAAAAAAGCTCAACAAATTACAATCTGGTCAAATTAATAAAAAAACCAAAATACTTTATACAATAAACAATCGTACATATAATTTATTTGTACCAAACGAAAATCTTCACTGCTTTAAGGTTTAATTTATCGTGACAGTAAATAAATATATATCACCGTAGTTAATCTTCTTATCTTGGAATACAGGGATGACCAAATCACTCACACTCGGCTTAGACCTTTGCATCTCAGTCAGTCGGTCAGCTACAACGGAAGCCAGGCGCATATATGCATCTGTTCAAGTTGCCACACCTTATTGGCACCACAAGATCAACACCAAATTCATAGAATTACTTCAATGGTAGTAATATGCAAAAGAAAGATTGTGTATGCGAATATAATACAGGAAGAAAGAAATAGTTCGTATGAAGAGAAGTATAGAGCAATTTTAATCCCACGATTTAAGGGAAGACAAAGAGTATATACACCTGCGCCATTGTGACCGATTCTAAGCCATGTCACACGGAGACTCTAACCATTGGTTACGATATCATTACAAGGGTTTGACTTGATAATTTCGAGTAAATTGAGCATTGGGTAGATTGTTATAAATAAACCAATATATTTATAATATTCCAATCAGTAGGAAAATTAAATTTTCTGACGTTTCGTAACTGAGTGTAAGCCACTTCCTCAGAGAATAAATAACCAAACCCATTTCAACTCATTGGGATATTACAAATACATTATATTATTTGCATTGGTTACGATAGTCGCACGGACCCCAACCAAGTAGTCTGCATCTACCGATATGGCTCAAAACAGAAGTTAGTGACTTCAAGAACTGACACCATGCTTTAGTTTGGCTCTCCCTAACTTTCTTCCAATCATCCCCAACATCAATCAGCATTGTGCGCCGTGCTAATCGGTGTTCAGGCATACGTAACACGTGGTTCAACCATCTCAATCGATGAAGATTCACAACCTTATCAACTGATTTGCCATCATCCCCTATTACCTTGCTTCTAACCTCACTGTTGCTTACCCTGTGATCCCAGCAGACACTGGCAATATTTCTAACATCTGTGATCAAATACTAGTAACTTACAAGCATCTTCTACCCTTGATGGCCATGTTCCGCAGACGTAAAGTAGAACAAAACGAACTTCCGCGCAGCAAACTCGCCCCTTAATTGTTAGACGGATATCTCGCCTTCGCCATAGGTGACGTGATTCGGCAAAAGTCAAACGAGCTTTCTGAATCCGTGCACACACTTCTTCAGACACCAACACATTCGGGCTGATCAGATTTCCAAGATAAGTGAAGTTGTCTGCGTGTTCGACTACTTCACTGCCTATCCTTAGTTCAATTGTTGACGGAAGCCAGTGCTGAAGCAACAGGTTGCATTTAGAGGATAAGAAACGCATCTCAAACATCCTGGCATTGTTTCACAATGCTACCAAGACACTCTGCATTTTATCAGCGTCTTAAGTAAACAGCACTGTCATCTGCTTATTCTAAGTCGATAAGTTGACCTCCTGGTAGGAGATCGACGCCCGAAAATCCAGTTGACGAGAACGTTGTTTCGATCAATATGTCTATGATGAAGTTGAACAAAATTGGAGATAGTGGATAGCCCTTTCGGACACACATCAGATGACAACTTTCCATAAGCTCTGGTCCGACTGGTAGTGTTCGAGTAAAGATCATTCACAAGGTTTATGCACTTCTGAGGTACACCTTTTAATGACAGACACCGCCACACAACCTTTCGATCTACTGAGTCAAATGCTGTTTTTAAGATAAACTATCATTGTGGACGCCGATAAGCATGCCTGTGTTCTAAGACCTGACGAGTAGTGAATATGTTATCGATGCAGCCACGACCAGGTCTGGAGTCAGCCGGATTTCCTTGTGTTTGCAGTTCACTAGTCTTTGTCAGGCGTCCGACATTTGAGGCTAGTATTTTAGATGCCATATTAGTTAAACTAACTCCTCTATGGTTATCACAAGATGATTGTGACCCCTCACATATTGGGACAATCAGTGACTGTAACTAGTCAGATGAGATTACGTACAACTTCCAGATTTTAGCTAAATTATTAGTAAACCTAATCGCCAAAACTAGACCACCATACCTAAATACTTCTGGAGCTAATCCATCTGGACCAGCTGCTCATCCTCGTTTCAAATTAACTGTTGCCTTTTAAACTTCAACTAGATTCAAGGGGAGGGCGCTTCAATAGTCCATTGGAGCTGTCTGGGAATGGTGGGTAGTTGTAGAGTAGCTGAAATGCTCCTTAAAGGTTTCCGGCCATCGTTCTGTGTGAACTGAGAGCAGTGTCGACTTATTGCGGGATCGTCTCACTTACATTTGACTTCATAATTCCAGTCTCTTTTATTAGTCTGTAGAGTTGTCTTGTGTTACCATCTCTTTTGCTTTCGCTGCTCACTATCGTTCCTAAAACTTTTGGTTAACCTAGATTTGATTTATTTCCGCTCTTTATTGCGTTCAGAGCCTGATGGGTTGAATTAACGAGAATCAATCAGTGCAATAAACTTAGTAGAAACCCATCGTATTTCGTGACAGTTTCAAATCACTAATAGATGTCAGTGTTGTATGCACATCTTCGCGAGCAAAATCTGGGTCAGCCTCGTTTTCAGAAATACCTAAGTGTGACCTCAGTTGGTCCTGAGATCTACTTTTGGTTTCCTCGTCAGTGAGTTCAACTCTAATGTGTCTTCTTAATGTGGTTTTTCTGCGTCCAGTGAGGCGCAAGCAAATGTGTGCTCGTATTAGAGCATTATCAGGGTTTAAATATATACTCCAGAACGAACGACAGCCTGCTATCGAGCCTCTCAGACAGTGACTGATGCCACTATGATCTATTTGGGTTTATCATTGGTTTGGTGCAGGCGGTCGCCACGTTAGACGATGTCTCTCCTTATGCTTAAAATTAGTGCTCGTTAGAAGTAAACTATGGTTTAAGCACAGTTGTAAAAGACGGTCACCATTACGTGTTCGCTGAGCCGGAATAATAAAATACGCACCCAAATGTCTTTCTGTTTGATTTAAGCTACATAGTTGAGCATTAAAGTCACCTGCCACGAGTACTGTGTCCGAGCGTTTAGCTTTTTGAAGAAATTCAGAAAGCTTCCTGTAAAAGTCATCTTTCACTTCATCCGGGCTGTAGTCAGTAGGAGCGCAGGCATTCATTCTTAAGAAGCCAAGAAAATAAAATACTTCTCACAATACTCATCAATCCGTACCATTCCGGACAGCCTTTTCTCTCTTAATACATTATTAAACAGTATATTCTAAATGCAGTCTGACAAATACATCTTTCGACATATAATACAGAGTCGCCTTAATCATTCTTAAGGAAATTGTTTGTCATTGTTATCAATCTTATTTTTACGGATTTAGTTAAGGTAATTATGCAGCGGGTAGCTATGGACATTTGTACTCATAATTTATATTAGATTGATACTTGACTCACGTCGCCATTACCTGTCGATATAGTAAATTGGCTTGATACAGCGAGTAGTCTCAAAACAATCAGTTCAATATGATCAATAATATACTTCGAGTTATCCCTACATGACAATGAAAGTTAATCGTTTTTCGCTTTTAATCCAAAGAACTTATAACCGTAAAAGTCATAGAAATGTAAACAGATGTTGGCTATAAGCCTTACGTTTAAATGGAAGAGTGGTCGACAGATATTTAAACCACATCCGAACAAATTTCAAAACATGTTAAAATAGTTTAATAGTGGGAATACAATAATACCTCAACAACGCCTCACATATACGACATGATGCAAGAAAAAATTAGATATTGTTCTATGTTAGCATATTCAACACTTAATGTCCTTTGGATTTATATTTGTGGATACTGACTTATTGCTAACATTTATATAATATCACGACATGATGCTTAGTCATGAATTGAATAAAAGGCTACTCAAAAAAATGGTTGTCTTCATGAAGAAGTCAAGAAATCAGTTATGGAAATACTTGTATGATCATCATTCGTTTAGTTGTACAGATATGTAAAACATTAACCGTCATCATAACAAGATATACAAAAAGTGTGAACAATATGTATTAGCGAATATTAGGAGCTTGAATGCAAAATGCTAGCCAAATGAAGCCAAGTGAGAGATAATGGTATAGGGTCTGAGAAACTTGGTGGCGTAGACAAATTCCATAGGAATATTTTATCGAGCTTAGCCCCAAATTTTATTGGTTCTGTTCCAACGTCTGACACGATACCACTATGGTGAACAACCACTGGTGAGTAACTGTCAGGAAAACTGAGTTGAACTCCTCGTAATGGCCTACCGCGGAAATTTGAAACTAGTACATGATTACTTAATGCACCAGATTCATTGCTGAAATAGAAAATGACACATGTCATACAAATTACTTTAAAGTTTCTAGACATTGAAGTTCGGAATTCGCTTTCATCCCGTTTGCTTCGATTTTACATGGCATCCAATGTGCGATCATTGCTAAGGTAGAATTAAAAGACCTAAATAAATGAGAAGTCAATAGTCTAAGCCTATATTAAAGAAATAAATGAATTGAGAAATAACACTTGTGTTATCATGGAAATTAAAATAAGTAAGCTTTCACACTAGGCTAGGTATATTGAACAAATAAGCTGTAGTTCTCAACTAATACTTAGAGAAAACGTCTTCTCTAAAGTTTTCGAGTCTACAATTAGTACCATAAAAGATAAGCTCAGATCCGAGGATTGCAGGTAAAAAATTGAGAACCTTGATGGTTTATTGTGAAGGTTAGTGGTAATCTCAATTTCAAAAGAGTAACTAGTTCCTAGTAGTAATTAGCAGGACTTACGGGGGATAAAGTAAACCAAACCCATTTGTTAAGCCCTTACGGCTTTTTAAGTTGTAACATTAATAAGTACAAGTATGGTCGTCAAATTTGCTTTCAACGTTAATCACTACACTACTGAAGTACACAGCATGTTAAAAAATTGTTTAGCATAGTGAAATAGTATCATGGTATCGACACCGCTGTGTCGTAAACCTTTTGCAAGTTGAATTGCAATTCAAATACACACCAAAACTAGAATCCCGCATTTCATTTGACCTAGCTTTTTATTTTTTCAAACGAACTCAGGTAACAATAGAGAAGTTGCTTTGGTTTATAGGAGAGGATTCTTGCGTGCAACCAGCCAAAATTCGTGTTGCAGTCCATCAATTACGTGAAATAATAAAAATATCAACCAATAATAAATGTGAAAACTTTGGTTTAAATATGGCTTGCCAGATATAATGAACTGTTAGTTTTTTTAGATTCATGTCTAGACGGTTGTAATTAGACCTTTAGTGTGAAACGGTATAATCCTTCTTACATTGTTTTCGGAAACCGGGGACACAGAAATATTGATACTGACAAAATTTTTAACAAGGAGTAAATATTAATAGTCCCACAGACTACCTACAGAACTAAAGTGCTCCTTGCGCCTGCTTTTAAAAACTAGGCAGAGACTGTTTTATTACCTCACATTTACACATCGTTGTATCTAACCGTAGAAACATTTGTACCGAATATTTCCGTGCGTTGTATTACGCTAACGTCACGATAGTCTATTAACGTCTGAAAAACTATGAGGAAAGTGATACACCATGATCAGGCTCTTCTATATTTTAATGTCTGTAAGGTAAAAGCTGAGTGAGATATGAATTTAGTCTGTGTATCTTTTATTTTCACTATTTTAAAAATATTCCGTTTGAAGAAAAGAATTTTTGAGAGTTCTTGGGTAATAAATAAATACAGTGATAATAAGAGAAAATTTAAGGAATTCTACGCCAGTATTTTAGAAAACAGATTGAATGTAATACTAAAGTGATCTTTGAAGCCTAACACACGATAGCTGGGAAGAATCATATCCAGTTTAGGCTGAAGAGAGAACATTATATTTAATGTGAGTAAAAGATATAAGGTAACGTTCAACAGGGACCTCGCTTATAAGGCCGAGCCATGCAATCCGATCAATTCGAATTCATTCAAATCCTTGTTTTCACCTTATCCATCGTGTGATTTTTCTCCGCGCTAAACGATGAACATCCATTTTCTTTAGTGTCTCGTTTTCAGTATTGAGGATTGGGTGGTTATTGCTTAATGCCACTACAACATAACGTATTCCTTTCCACATCAAATACAATATAATATCCTCAGTTCACACGTGTTTCTCGTGAGTTCTAATCATCATAATGCTGACTTTCACAAAAGGACGAGTCATAGTATGGTCAGTGATGCGACTTCCATTAAGAACTTGTGGATTAGGTAGTCATGACAATTATGCAATTTTTCGTTTAGTTTATTATTCTAGTAACAGAGATAAATACACCTAAAACCGACCTAGGCAATAAACTTATCATACGTTATCCAGCTGTGAGACCATTCTATGTGAGCTGGATGTTGCTGGTTATAGTCACGTAGTGCGTATTCAGTAATTTCCCTGCATTCTGAAGATAACGCTGTCAAAATTTTAATATTCTCCTGGAGTTCTACTATGGTTAAGTCTACTTGATTTCAATGATATCTACGCTACCATAAAAACACGTATGCCTTATGCCATTACAGATCGCTATGACCCTGTCAATTCACTGTAAAATGGTTAGGTTGAACATACCGACGTCATTAATGAGGATGTTTATACTAATCTTAGAGGCCGCAGCTTTCCTGTGAACCGGATGGTCAACATATATTATCATCAAAACATGAATGTAGACCTAAAGACTTATCAGAAACAGATTTATCCCTGGTTGTATTACGGATTATTGAGAAAAAAGCATACGACCGAATATTTTGTCACCCACTTGGGGACGGAGCAATCAGAACCTCAAAAAGCAGCTTCATTAGACAAACGAGGTCCTTAATCACGTGTCTGTAGGACTTTTTTAGCGAATTTTTTCGCATCTGTGACCTGAAGTAATTGATGAAATAGATAATCTTGCTTCAGAGTTGAGTATAAACCTCAAAAAGGACTGTGTTAGGGAAGCGAATAACAAGCACGAAGATGTAGATATCGTTACAGGGAAGAAGAAGCTCGCTGAGAAGAAACAAATTATGAGCAGCACTAATGTACGTGAATCTACGGTATCAGTCCCGGATTCATATATCAACGCAAAAAAGATTATGGGAGAGCAAAGCCTGAGTGGTGTGGATGATTTGACCAAGAGATACAACAAGGTAAATGATCAGCTTACCATCACATCAGAAATGAAAAGTAAGGAATCAGAGTGAGACCTCTGTGTTTCACGCCGAAATGGATCGTACGGAGGAGGAGATTACAAGAATTACGTTAAGACGAACTCCGATGACAGATAAGTCATTTTTCACATCTAAGGGTTATATTCAGAAAAAGAACCAAAAGCTAGATTTGAGCACGAACTCAGCCACACAGATTGTTAGATACCACAACCACCTTAGTTTTATTCCAGCATATTAGAGATCCCTCGAGATATGATTTACATAACTCCTCGTCTCTCTCGGAACTCACCTTCACATACGGTGATGATATCAGCCAAGCAACTTTCCTCTCAGCTTTGGGAAGAAGTGATCATGAAGTCATCTCATTCAAGTTCATGGCTGAACTAGCTTGTCAAGTATTTGCACCAGTCCTAAACATATGGATGACCGGGATGTAGGCGATCAACTCTGCAGTCTTGGCTGAATTCCAAATAAGTGACTTGGGATATTATCAGAATATGTATGGACATATCTCCGGAAATTATACAATCAAGTATACCCTGGACAGTCCCAAAGAAAAAGAAGCACGGCTATCTCTGAATGGGTTAAGATGTTCGACGTTTACCAATACAAAGGGAGAAATTTAGGAAAGTCTCCATCAACATTGACACTGAAAGTGTGATAAAACGCTACAGGTGTGCAAAAAACTGTATAGTCACAATCCGTGAAGGTCAGTAAAAAGACGAGAAGCAGCTGGCTCAATCTGAAATCTTACATAAATTACAAAACAAGAACTCTGCATTGGATTCAGAATCTATTTAGTGAAGGGAGTGGGTTTGAAATGATAGAGGATGATCAAGAAACAGCAGAGGCTATGAAAAACTATTTCGGGACAGTTTCCATTCAGTAGTTTCTTCTCGACGAAGAACTAGACCCAAATTCAAGGTCACGAAATCAGCTGCTCAGAGTGGACTTAGGTCGAGACGATTTACTTAAGGTTCTCAGCACCTAAGATAGGGAAAGATCAACAGGACCGGGTGAACCATACCCTCAATTCTTGAGAAAAATTTCACAATATATTATATTCACACTGACTACGATATTCCATATGTCACTTGACGAAGGTGAGTTCCCAACGGATTGGAATAACGTAATCGTCACTCGAATATATAAAACGACATCAATACAACTCTCACCAAACCACAAACCTGTCAGCCTTACTAGTGTATTAGTTAAAGTACTGGAAAGAATAGTCAAGAAGACCATGATATTCGTAGAAACCAACTTGTTAAATATTGAGAACCGTGTTTTCAGGGAAGAATTATCTCATACAACAAATCTCTTTATGGCAAGAGAACAATCGAGAAAGGCGCTAGATATTGGAAAACCAGTGGATATTCATCTACATAGACTTCAGTAAAGCATTTGAAAAGGTGCCAATAAATAGACTGCTCTTGAAGCTGGAAAATCTAGACATTACCGGGCCTCCACTATAATGGTTTAAGGAATTGTCGGTAGGTCGTAGAGAGAAAGTCAGAGCAATTTCCAAGCGCTTGACCTGTAGGCCAGTATTTGGTGGAGTACCTCAAGGTTCTGTCCTAGGTTCTTTATTTTTTATGGTGCATGTGAATGAACTCCCAAGTATAGCTGAGTCCCCAATGTTATTATACGCTAATTACGTAAAAAGTTGGCGAGAAGTAATAGGAGGCTCAGATGCATGTGCACTTCAAATAGACTCAAATATTGAGATTAGCTTGTCTAAAGAGAAGCTGATGCCTATTGACGAGGCAACTTGTGTCTACATGCACATTGGGGATATAAAGGTAAATAGATATGCCAGAGGGCAAAAGTCATTGTTCACATCTCGGTCTGACAAGGACCTTGTAGTGACAACGAGTCATGAAACTAAGACCGTGCCCCACTGCCGGAAGTTTGCAACGAAGTAGTTTAGGACCATATTGACTTTAAGACGGACATCTACAAATCTGGAAACAACCATGTTCACTACAGTATAGACAATCCTAGTGAAAACAAAGCTTAATAATTGCGTTCTGACGTCAGGACACTGTCTAAAATGTGGCTCGGACAACCTAGAATAAATACAGAGGGCAGCTAACTGTGAAATTCCAGAACTCCGGGGTTTACCATACAAAATCGGCTTGAAACGCCAGTCCTCTTTACTCTGTCCCAGCGCAAATTAAGAGGTGTTCTTATTTTAATGTATAAGATCATAAAAAATGATTTTAGATCTAGTATATCACTGCTTTTTCTTCCTTCTAGATCTGGACATCTCAGGGAACATAGCAGACAAGTAGAAAATACAAGAACGAGAAAATTAATCATGACATACAGGTTTCACACCGATTCATGGATTCCTGGAACCTGTTACCCTTAGCAGTGGTGTCTGCACCTTCAACTGGCTCATCCAAGAGAAGATTAGACACTCACAGAAGCATACTAGAAAGGGAAAAACAAGCTGTTGGCTTTCTGTTTTTACTAAATAAATCTGTATCTAAAGTTGGAAATTCACTATAGCAGGTTAAATTATACTGATACTAAAGTCAAAAACTTTTACTTCTTACCTTACGGAATTATTCGAAAGAAGCCATCAAGACTCTTTAGTTTTAGAAATGGTGTTCAGAAGAAGCCGCGTAATAATTTATCAATATCAGGTGCCTAGTCCAAAAAAATCAGGCACCTACCTTGAGGCGTTGATGAATCGACGTGGTTAAATATAGAGAACTATTCACCAAAACCCAATTCGTGAGACATAACTCAAGCTTTTTTCAAGTGTATAGATCGAATTGGATATTGAAATATTTAAACAAGCAAAAAGTAACTTCGAGACATTTAAATTTTTTCTCTGTTTTCGTGCAAATATGCATCGCAGGTTTTCACTTCGAACTCTTTAATACTTGTTCTATTTAGTTTTTCAGTAGAAGAAAATAATGACCACAAGAGAATTATTTCCAATAATGATCATGATGAGGAAAAACCCACCATTGTACCACAAACATTACTTAACGACTCTAATATTTCAGATGTTGAAAAGTGTGATAAAAGTTTGTGAGCAGTTTATGTTATAACGCAACTACTCTAGCAGACAATGTCAGTCGTATAGTGGATGCTTTAAGATGTGCACTTGTTAGTTTCGAGTTAGTTGTAACTTGACTCATTTTCTCTGCTTTTAGAAGGCATATACAGGCAGAAAACAGTTGCACGGATGATATTAGGAATCTATGCAATGAAGCTAAATCGTTGCAAGCAAAATTAAGAGACAAAAAATGTTTGATAATAAGTCATTTTCAGAATGTTGTTTCAAATCTTGCTGAGGAAAATTGAAATGATACTTGAACTAACTACGAGTCAAACTCATCTTTTTTTCAAAAAATAAATACAAGTTATGCATATTTATGAACCAGGAATTTGTGGCCAGAAAAATTGCTCGTCGAAAGACTGTTAAACTATAGTATAGCAGGAATCTACATTACCAATCGTAAGCATCGATGTGGAAATAAAAACTTTGTGATTACTAAAATCAAAAGCACAACATTTGTGTCACACTCTTCTATGAGATGATAACATTTTAGTTCAGTTTTAGGGCCTAGTACAAAAAAATCCGTGAAAAATCTACTGATTCGATCACACCATTAAGAGAATTCCATTTGAAGTTTGGAATTCTGAATGAGCTGTATTCGAGACCAGTGAAAGGAATTCTAGTTGCAGAATCATCTGGTGAACATTGAGAATTTGTATTATAAAAATGGCATGCTGAGGTCAAGTTAATTTACTCGTTCGTGAAATGATGAGTAATGTAAAGACTTGTAGTTTAATAACAGCTACTTGTTCAACTTGTTATATGTAGTAATCTACGTTAAGACTCACGCTTGCATCTCTCCACAGCAGTACTCAAATTTCCGTGTTTATAAATGAGTCGAATATTACACAACCAAAATATATTTAATGCTCCAAATAACTAGAGGTGAAACACGAGAGTGAAAATAGAATATGACGCTAGACAGTTTATTGAGTAATACACAAAACTATTTTTCCTTTCTAATTCTAACTTGTGGATCATAATTATACAGATACTCCAGTTATTTCTATCATGCGAAAAACAGATTATGCACTTCCATATACATTAAATTTCATTTCCCGAAGTTTTCTAGTTAGGTGCTAGATTTAATCCCATGGCAAAAAACACGTGTGTGGTTACAGTTTAAGCATCTGCTTATAGCTGAAATATAGAAGGTAACAGTTAAAGGCGAAGGTTTTGTATAGATCTAGAAGTACATATAAGGACTCAAGATAATTGTAGTTTAACTCCACTTTCATTTATCATACCACTGTTGCCTGATGATTTTGAAGGGTTCACAGTCCGAGACATATTTTTAAAATACAATGAGAGTTTTTGCGAGCAAACTGCAACCAGAAATATCAGCTACTTAAGACTGATAAATTATATACCAATATTTATTCTATGGATGTAACGATTTGATAATATTTGGGCTGTCTATTATTTACTATCTTATAACATGTAGGGATACGAGAGATAAAAAAGTCAAGTGTGTCATTTTCGGAAAATAGAAAAATTACTTGAACTTATGTGCTATTGTCTGGTGAGGCAATAAAAAAGGAGCTTATTTGAGACCTTGACAGAAACATCGAGAATGATCACTTCATAACATAAAGTGTATGTTTTATTACTGAAATATATTGTATATACCATGAAAAACGAATAATTTTCTTCATGAATGATATATACATATTCAGAACCGTGGCTTTAATGACAACAGATAAATGTTCCCCCTAACAGTATTATTTTCAGAAATAAGGAAGTTGGAAAATATCCATCTTCTTACAAATAAATTGAAAGGGAAATGGCAAGACCGGTAATGTTAAACGATTTACATACATAACGGAAAATAAATTGACTATAACAGTTAATAAAAGGCAGTTTATCATGAGTGTGGACCAGTTCTCGTTCCATTCTCATCAGAACCATAACTTGTTGGCTTATGTGATTGGTGAACACGACATAAATTTGGGGTTATTGTTTCAAAACTAAGAAAAAGAAATATATACTATGATTAAATAGTGAGTTCGTTTAAAACAACAGTTTTAAATTCGAAAATAGAAACTCAGTAAACTAAGGTAACTAAGGGCGAGTAGATTAGCCTTAAAATAGAATCAGTCTGATTGTAGTTACGTTGAAAGAAGTACCGTACGAATCCGCACGAATTTCGTATGTCTCTAAGGCAGAAAATATCTAAATCTCAAAAATAGGTTACATGTCTAACAAACACTGTGTTTTGTTAAAAAGATGAGGAAATTAGTCACTTTGGAGATCAGTAGAACGCCAAAGAAACAATGTGTATTTGTCATCTTTAGATTCCCAGGCTAAAAGATCTATAGTTACTGTGTCACAACAGATAAACTTGTGAAATGGTACGCGAATTGGAGAAATAGTAAAATACTATTTCTTCCAAAGGTAGAGGAAAAATTTTAGGTTCTTGGTCAAAGTTGTCATGATATATTATAAATATAAACGCAATTGACACTTATTGTGTCTACCATAACAGTGATTTTATTTTTAACTAATTATACTGAAAACAATAAACTTACTAAATCTCTCTAATCCCTCTCACGACAAAATATGAGAAAATGATCATTGCTGCAAGGACAGCATAAAACCAAAAATTGGTGACATTATCAGCTGAAAGATATGAATACCACGTACATAATATAATTAAATAGGATTATATAGTATCTATTATCATTTCCCAAGATATACTAACATATTATACACCCTAAAACTACATGATATGAAATTGAAAACATCCTTTCCCATAAAATTGCAGTTCCTGATGAATATATCTTCATTAAGTGATATGATTTACTACACAAATGAGCTAAGATTCTGGTTCCAAACATTGCAATTTATAATTTTTTTCTAAATTGTGTTGATTGGAACTCCATATACAAGATTAGAGTATTTTGATTATTCGATTGTGATCAATATTATGTTGTTTATTTCCTATTTCTGACCAAATTTTATTTAGTAAGTTTCCAGACTAGTTACTAAATCAATTCACTCGAGTACTATTACAAAAATGGGAATCCTGATTCTATCCGTAATTCAAACTTTTATTCAGTAATACTAAATTCAATGATGTTTCAATCACGCTTATTAACTTAACATAAAATTCATGAAATATTCTACATATCCTAAACTGTAAGCAGAACCACACAAAATAGTCAAGAATGCAGATACTAAAGTAGACAGAAAGTCACAAAACAGAATGGATATTAGTTGAAGTGTTTACTCTTGAATTCGGTGAAAGTAAAAGATAAATACCAATAAAGAGATAATAAATTTAAAAACGGTAGGTAAAGACAAGTAAATAGAATGTTCCAGACTAAGAAAAAAAAACAATAACTTGTTTGCAGCAGTATAACTGATTACGAGCGATACAATTTAGTCATTCCGTTAAAGTTAAATAGATTTATCGGTCTGACTACCTTCAGTGTTTACCAAGCTACAATTGATCTAGGCAAAAAAACAGTAAGTTAGGTGGTGATTTTATACACACTACGAATGTATCAGACACTTCAACCATTGGAAATCCGCAACTTCACTGAGCGACTTAATTCATTTAATTCAAGACGTTTAGAAGTACTCTAGTCCACAGACATGTGATAGGTTTTCAAAAACACTTTATTTACTCCTCGGTGAGTTCTTCAACCCATATATGGCATTAAGAAAAATGCGTAGTAAATATACCCTATAACATACAGTCTTTAAGGCTCAGGTTCAATGAGTTTCCCTTATATTGAGCACCGTCGAATTGTATCTTCTCGTCTCCGTAGCTATTTGACTAGTCTTCTAGGTCGCCCATGTCCGAACACTACATATACCTACATTAATCGTTGTTCTGGCTGTTAAAATGGTCATTGGTCTTGTGAAGAATCTCGGCTTTCACCATGAGACGTTATAATTCTTCTGAAAGATCCTTCAAATTCTAGGGTAGATTTTTAATTGTCTATTCTGGCTGGCGTTTTCCTAACAAGGTTGTTTTCTACGGGATGGAGTTGCTGAACCCATGCTCAACCCTCTTCGTTTACCCGCGCTTGCGACCGGTATTAACCCTAGAAGAGCTACGGGCAGAGCGGTTACGACATACATTGAGCAAATCATCAAAATGCATCACGAAGCGAGCGCTAACTTGGGATCCTGAAGGAAAAGAGGAAGACCAAGGAACACACTGAACCGGGAATCAGAAGCCGACATCAAAAGTGATTAACTGGGAAGGGTTTCTCGAGACAGGGTTCGGAGGAGAATGCTAGTGGGCGGTTTATGCTCCTCCACGTGAACAGGCGTAATTACAACAAACAATTGTGTTTCATTTAACAGAGGATAAGTTAGCCATAATGAAGTAATGAGCAAAGAGTTCGTTGGACATCAAACGACCACAAGGATTGAGAAAACTAGTGATCCATATAATTAGACACATTTTTCTCTGGTTCAAATAAATTTATTCGGAATATTCAAAGTATGTATGCGTGAAATAGATATAAAGCATTGCTTAGGACTTCTCAGTATCGATGATTTTTGAAAGTCGGTTGGAATGCTTTGTCAAAAGAAAAACATCTAAAATAGGGGAAGTGGTGTAACTGACAAATATTTTTCAGTGTAGTAATTCAAAACGGTCGGTGGTTTTGAACTTGCATCTGACCCCTATTACTCCAGTACAAAACTTTGGTAACAAAATGTCATAAATATACTTATTTGCAGCTTTGTGACACAATTATATGGACGAAAAATATTGTTTCCAATATACGCAATTACATTATTCTCTCTTACCCCATGTTGACCATATTTATAATGATCAAGTATCTCACAATTCCATTTCATTTATGAACTAGTTCAAGTTAACACTTCATATTAGTCATTCCAACATTAACAATTTGATTTTACATAACAAACAACTCTTGATTTATATGTTATAATTTTAAATGATATACTCTGCCTTGGCCAATTTTATGGATTATTAATTTGGATATATAATTGTAGAACCTGATGAGAAATTATTGAAAAGAATACTCCTCATTCATATAATTGTGTTTTGATATAATGGGAACTTTTCAACAATTATATAAGAAAATTATTGGAACTGGTAACCTACTTTCGTGTTCTTCAGATTTATTATTAAATAGTTTTTATGAGTTTACCTTATTATAATATTGTGCCACTAGATAACGCAAACAAAAAGTGTGAACTCAAGAACTGAAGTCACTATCATTTTTATATTATACAGCTTTGGTAAATACACATGAAGATTTATCTTACCAATTTATGAAGAACTAATGAGGTGAGTTTAAAACTAGTCTTTTCGAGTCGAAGACTTACAATAAAACGATTATAAGAAAACGTTTCGAACTACTTACGAGGTAGGTAAAGCACACGAGAGTTTACTTCATCCATTTTTAGTAACTGTCACTAAAATATCGAAGTTGGGAAAGGAAGAAGCTTGATCATAACT